TAGAGAGGCTGCTCCGTCGTGCATCCCGTCGCCCCACCGTCGCAGTCGCCCCGCTGTCGCCGCCGTCCCGCAGTCGTCCCGTCGCCCCACCGTCGCAGTCGCCACTGTCTTGCCGTAAGCTTCGGTCTCTCATCTCATTCCCTATTCCTCTCTCTCTCTCTGTTCTATTCTTATCTACCAACAAGTTAGGGTTTTCTATTTCATGTATTGCTTAAATCATTGATTTGCACCCTTTATACACATATATGTGTGTAGATATATATGTATTTCAATCTTATTTCAGTTTTGCTTGTAGATTTTACACTCAATAATCTCTCAAAAATTGGTATATGAGTTTGTTCTTTGTTTCGTTACCCTCTGTTTGGTTACTTGGAAAACGAAGAAAAAGAAGGGAAACACCAACATTGTTGTCTTACTCACTCAGTTGGAATGCTCACACACCAACTGTTTGATAATTTGCTCCTTCGAACTGTACACACATCACGCCCAATCCTACCTCAGTTTCACTATTTGTTCTAGTCCATTAGCTGTTACATGAACTCTTCATAGCTCTGCTCAACTTTCGTACCTGACCCAAATGACACTATTCCTTCTTGGCCTCTGGATTACAGCAAACTGTAAGTCCATAACACTGCCACAGGGCGAAGATTTAGATTACACAACATACATTACACACACACGGCGACTTAAATTCAAACTCGAAGATAAATTACAATTAGTACGGCCAATTGATACAAGTTCATACTAGAAATCCTAGCAGGATACTGCATTGCAGTCATTCATGATCTGCATTCTTCACGACATCACGACTGTAACAGGACAAGTAGCATTGTTCAGCACGTAGTTGCTAACACTACCCATGATAGCCCTAAAAATTTGAAATCAAACAAAACTGAAAACCAGTCAATTTCAATAGATAACATGGCGCGCAATCATGGTCTGAATTACGTTCCGTTTGAAACTAATCAAAGAATGACATTGTATCAGCTTCAAGGGAGATTGTTTCCCTTGAGAAAATAGGACATTAAAATGAAAGTAACACGATGATGGATGCTCTTCTTGTTAAGTAACACGATGATGGATGCTCTTCTTTTCAAGCTCCACCCAGAGAGCTTATCCATGAAGAAACTTTAACACTGTATTTGGATCATAGACTTGGGTAGAGGTGTATGAAGAGAAAAGAAATGGGAAGTAAAAAGTGAATTAAATTTAACTACTACTTCATACACTTTTCCTATGTCATTTCTATTCCCTCAACAAATTCCTCCCCAAGCACAATGAGAGTGCTTCCAAAAAATGTCAAATTTCTTTATGTCAAAAAATGATCTTCCCTCAACACTTTTCACATTTACATCTAATCACTCTATGTTCATCTAATCATTTCATGTCAAATTTCTCCATTTCTCAAGTGCATCCAAAAAATAAAATTTTGATTTTTTATTTTTTAGATAACCAAACAAAAATTTTAAAATTTTCTAAAATTATATTTAAAATTTAAGAACCAAGCACAATGAGAGTTCTGATTAGATTAGAAGACATGTGGGATCCCTATTTGAGATTTTTTCCTCCAATATGGCATTTGTTTGGCTGAATTTGTAGTTTAGTCTAGAGTCGAAACTAGTAATCCGTCACATGAGAAAATGAATTTGCTCACACACTTTCGGAGTGTGCGAACAATATATAATTTTTGATAATTTTGTTGAATAAAAATATACAACTTTTGATTGATACAATACAGTGGGCCATATATTCAAAAAATATATATTGATGCTATCTAAAAATATAAACTTCACTATTCTTCACCAATCAAAAAATGTGAGGACTCTTCATATGAAATGATAGACTTCCGTCCAAATTGTCTTCTCACCATCATCTAAATCAAATTAAAATGTTATACAGTGATGGGGAATGATAAAGTGTTCACTTCTATGCTAATATAACTAGGATTGAGCTGTTATACTGTGATAACTTGACTTTCCTAAGACACTTGTTAATAACTTGTTTTTTATGCAGAAAAAAAAAAAATGGCTTCATCTTCTATTGATAATACGAACTTAAGATTAAAGCCAAGGTTTTGTAATTGTGGAAGAATAGCTTCCGTGCGTATTGTACGAACCAATGCGAATGGAAATAAAGGACGTGTCTATTTTGTTTGTCCAAGAAAATATGTAAGTACCTGTTATATAAATGAATCTGTTACTTTTTACAAATTTCATTTGTCCTTTATTGATTAATTGATTCTTGTCCATTGTAGGATTCAAACGACCACTGCAATTACTTCAGGTGGTTCGCAGATGATGACGACGACGACGACGACATTACCTCATCAAGCCGTGCCAATGCTGGACATCTTGAAGGCAATGATCTAAGGACAAGGCTTGGTGAGCATGATAGAAGGCTTCAAAGGATTGAGAACATTTTGAAGGCAATGACTTATGTCATTGTATTTTGTGTATTTTTGTATTTTATCATGTAAATGACCCAGTTCTTAGGTTTTGGAACATCCTATGAATGTAATCTACTTTTCTACTTGTTTTGTAATTTTTTTTTGGTGCTTAAAAATCTGAAGGTTTGCAAAAACAAGTGTGTAACAGGTTTATTTGAGATGAAATGTTGAATGAACAGTTTGTGAAATCTATTGAATTATGTTGGTTACTTAACAATGTGTATTATATGTGATGGTTTGAAAATGTTGAATGTTGTATAACAGGTTTCTGAAATGTTGAATAATGTTGAATGTTGAAAATGTTGAATGTTGTATAACAGGTTTCTGAAATCTATTGAAAATGTTGAAATGTTGAAATGTTGAATGTTGTATAACAGGTTGCTGTATTATATGAAATGTTCAATGTTGTATAACAAGTTTCTAAAATCTGCAACAGTTTAAAAATCTGCAACAATGAAATGTTCAATGTTATATGAAATGTTCAATGTTGTATAACAGGTTTCCCAAAGCATAATTTTAAAATCTGCAACATTTTAAAAATCTGCAACATTATAAAAGCTTATTCTAAGTCTTGCCTAGCATCATCCACACAGAATTTAAATCTGCAAATAGAATTGAAGCAAACATTCTGTCAAGTATTTAAGCAAAAATTTGTATTGCCTTGCATCATCCAGACAGAATTTAAGCAAGAATTTAAGCATTATAAAAGCAAAATTTAAATCCATCAAAGCTGCAAACAGAGATACTGCAACTCTAATTCTATTTCAGCAAAAAAATCTGCAACATTTCAACTTTATTTCAGCAACATTTGAGCATTATTCAAGCAAAAAATCTACAACAGTTTAACTCTATTTCAGCAACATTTCAACTCTATTTCAGCAATTTTTCAGCAACAATTTCAGCAACATTTCATCAACTCTATTTCAGCAACATTTGAGCATTATTCAAGCAAAAAATCTGCAACAGTTTAACTCTATTTCAGCAACATTTCAACTCTATTTCAGCAATTTTTCAGCAACAAATTCAGCAACATTTTAACTCCATTATAGCAACATTTCAGCAACAGTTTCATGAAAGGTTTTCAATATTACATATCCAACAAAAAATTCACAAAAATTCCCAAAACAAAATAACGCTAAGATGTTGACGTGTGATTCTTATGCCCACGCCCACGCCCACGCCCACGACCACGACCATATAGTACCTACAAAAAAAATAAAATAATATTACATCAAAGGAACCATAAAATAAATTGGAACTTTAAATGAATGAATGACAAAATAAAAGAGGAAAGGTGAAAAATAAATTACTTCACTACATGCGGGACTATTTGAGGCTTGTGAGTGATAACTACTTGCATTGTTAAGCAATGCTTGATAGGTTCCATGGACGGAATACATTGATGGCATGGAAAAATGCATATTATGATGAAGAAAACTTGGCTGCAACAATAACAAATACATATCAATTTCAAATGATAATAGTCACCTACAAATCTCTACTAAACCTTCTTATTAAACTAACTTACATCATAGGCGGGATACATAAATTGAGACGAAGAAGCTCTAACTTCAAGAACACTCGGCGAGAATGGAGGAAGTTGAGGAGCACTTGAAAATAAAGGAGCCAACTGAGGAAATAAGGGAGGTGCTTCAGGAGCACTTGCCGAAAATAAGGGAGGAGTTTGAGGAGTAACAGACATGGAAGTTTGAGAAGCATTATATGAACTTGTTTTATTTTTCTTTGCCAACTCAAGCTCCAAACCACCTTTTATCTGCCTCCGTCCCTTGCTAGTGCACTCTCTTCTCTTGAGTCCTTTTGCTTGAACTACATTTTTATCCGCTACACCATCCACTTCAAAGCTTTCGGGGGGGCTTTCTTCTTGAATAGTATCTGAACAAGGCATATTGAATTTTGTGCATAACATGGTTTCAATGTCTGCAATTAATTCATCCGCTTTCTTGACCGTCAAATTATATGTTTCCTCACTTTTAGAAGCTCTACACGCTACTGATCTGAATATTGCCATCAATGACCTATAACGTGAAGTTTGATGCAATCTTACATCAACCTGAATATCATGCCCACACCTATCTTTCACATTTTCAGATCTTGCTTTTTTAGTCCATCTCTTCAGAATATATTTTGAAGAAATCTCTTTGAATTTGAGTCTTTCTCTAAGGATCTTCAAACAATGACTACACAAAATGCCCTTCATTTCAAACTTCCTACAACTGCAAGTGACTGAATCATCACACTCCTGCCTCATCTTCCTCACCTTTATACCATCACTATCAAGAACAGTATAAACGGTACTCTCACCATCATTTTCAATTTCATCAATGTTTACTTCAAGGGACTTGACATACTCATCCTGAAATTCTTCAAAAATTTTATTTGTGTAAACATCTGCAGCTTGCTCCATAATCTTCACTTTAATATTCACCCTTGGCAACTTTTGGCATAGAGCATATTCGGCTTGTAACTCTTTGTACCTCTTCTCAGACAGAACTCGATCAAAATGCATGAAAAATTGCATTAAGTTATGATCAGACTAAATGAAATCCTTTAAGAAAGCATCAAAGGATTGGGTGCTACTCATGCCCGCACCCCATGCATTTCTAACATATGGCCAACCCCATTTTTCCTTCACCCCAAATGTTAACTTTAACCAATGATTATCTCTTACTTCATACTTGTCAAGCATTTCCTTCCATTTTAACGTAAACTCTTCCTCATCCTCAATGTCGTACATAAACTTAGATAAAATACTCTTCATCCCCTTATCCTTCACCGCCTTATCCTTGAAGATAGAATTTGCATGCCTTAATGCATTTTGCATCAAATGCCAAGTGCAAAGGCGGTGGGTTGTGTTAGGCATGACAATAGGTATGGCCTTAGCCATTGCAGCATCCTAATCCGTAAAAATTGTTTTTGGAGCCTTACTTGACATTGCCTCCAAGAATCTTCTAAAAAGCCATACAAAAGAATCGGCGGTCTCATCATACATCAAAGCTGCACCAAATATCACAGTTTCCCTATGATGGTTAAATCCAACAAAAGACGCAAATGGTCTATGTGCACTATTTAACTTGTAAGTAGTGTCGAAAGTCACAACATCACCAAATTGCCCATAATCCATGATCATCTGAGCATCGGCCCAAAATATGTTTGTAATCTGCTCCTCGTTATCTAATTGGACCGAGTAAAAAAAGATGGATTCTCCAATGATTTGTCACGAAAATATTGCAAAATGCTACCTGCCTCCCCATATGCTAAACTGTTTTGCCTCTTCGTTTTCAAATAATTGTTTTGGTCCAGTTTTGTGAACCCAAGTGACTCCCTTCCACCAACTTTATTACCCATGAGCTCAAATGTAGCATTAAGACGGATTCCAGATTTTTCGGCTAAATCTATTTCGGTTGCCTGTGATGCAGATATCTTCCTTTGGGATGGTAACATATGCGTACATTTTGTTGGTACAAAGATATGATTATGTTGTTCAACAAAATCAATAACAAAAAATTTCTGCATATTCCTATCCCACTTAATGACAAGTCGGGCTTGACAACCAGTCCTCACTTCCTGCCTAGGATTTTTTATTAATGGATCTCGCTTGTCGACAACCCGAAATCCCTCCTTATTACAAACAAATTGCCTTGAAGTGATTTGCCCCTCTTTGCTCTTGTTTACATAACCCCTTCTACTACTAAAACCCAACCTTCCTCCATAAGTATTATAGAAATCATATGCTTCTTGTTCTGTATCAAACATCATGCGAACTCTAGGCTTCCAATCACACTCACCCCCATCATTCTCATGATTGTTAGGTTCCATATGAATGTGCCAAGTCACTTAAAAAATTAAGAAGTGCTTATTAGCATAAAAACTGTAAATTATGTTTGCAAAATAATACAAACTGAATAAGATAATCAGCGAATAAAAGAAATTAGATAATCAAGGCAAACAAAAAAAAAATAGAAATTAACAAAAACCAATGCCAAGTGCAATATGCTATCTTTGTGGTTAGAGTTGCAGTAATAAATTTCATTTGAGGAGGGTCAAACTTTATCAATAAAGTAGGATAGAAGAGAAATAAAAAGAGTTGATGCCATTTATATATGAATGGAATTTGAGCTATGATTAATGTCAAATAATTTCTTTTCCCAGTATTGCTTGGTGGAGAAGGGCACAAATGATACATTTTGCATTAGCTATAAAACTTAAAGAATGAGCCTTAACTCTTATGAGCCTATAACAAAAACTACAGAACGTCATAACAAGTTTCTAGCTTGTATGTTTGTTACAGAGATTTATCTACACAATATGTTTGTCAAGTTTCATTTTACTTGAAATTCTATCAGAAGAAGAAAGAAGCACCTATAAAACACATTGAGGAGCAATCCCATTGAAAAAAAAAATTTGATTAATGAATATCTGATAAAAAAATACATGTTCCCTCAGATGTTGATTAATGAATATCTGATAAAAAAAAAATACATGTTTGTTACAAAGAAGCACCTTCTCAGATGTTGCCAGTGGTGGACGTTTCTTTATATGTTCCCTCAACCCAATTAATGAAAATCTGATAAAAAAATACATGCAATGACTACAAAGAAAAACAATGACTACAAGGAAACTTCAGGATGTAAATTGCCTATGTCCACTTAAGAAACAGGAAAAAAAAAAATGTTGTTTGACAGAGAAATAATCTGGTTAGATTTGCATACAGAGATGGGAGAGCTTCACGTTGACTTACATAAGCATACAGAGCTGAACCCATTTTTTTCCTAAGGTTGCTTCACGTTGACTTATATAATGTATAATGTATATATATATATATATATATATATCTATTATCACAGGGATTGAGCAATATATATCAGCAAGATTTCAGCAAAAAAGGCAAGATTTCAGCAAGATTTCAACATAAAATTATATACATAATATAATCACCTATATATTGCAGGGGCAGGGGCAAATGGCTTGACAACGGTTGGAGCAGGGGCAACGGCCACGGCGGCGGCGACGGTGGGCCGACAGAACGCTCTTCGCGACGACGGCCAACTCTTCTTCACTCTCTCCTTCTTTCTTTGATTCTTCTCGCCGTCTGTATAGCCGTGTGTATACATATGGAGGGAATTTTGAAATCCCTTTTGAAACCCCTGATTCTGGTTTTTTTTTTTTTTTTTTTGAAAATCCTCACCAAAACGACGTCGTTTTGGTGAGGCTTAAGCACAGCCGCCCGATCATCCACTTTAGGAGATCACTCTAGAGAGTTACTCTAGAGGATCCGCATGCGAAAACTTCTGCCCTCCTAAGTTTGTATAAAATATTGTCTAATTTATTAAAATCACATTGATCTGTATCAATTTGTATCGTTCAATCTAGTGATGGAGCCAAGAAATTAAATCAGAATGGGCACTCATTATTTATAACATTGAAAATTTTTACAAAAAATTTTCACATAAATTTTTACGATTGACTTCAAGAAAGATATATATATATATATATATTATTTGTAACTAGTATATCGTGGACAATATAAAAAAAAAAAGGTCATGGATATAAATTTTAAAATAAATTATATAATGATAAAGTAATTTTTTATACAAAATTTCAGTAAAAATTCAATATAATAGTACTACCATGTCGTTATTGACATATAATATTACCAACTAATAGTAAAAAAACACATAGAGAATGAATCTCACATGTCAAATGTAACTAACAATTCAATAAATTTCATATTTTCATTAAGATTAATTATAATTGTATGTCAATAATGATAGACATCACCATTATATTGAAATTTTCATAAATAATATATGATTTATTGTAATATCTTTATTTTCAATAAAACAACAACCATTACTATTCTCATAATTTTAAAAATGTCATTGATATTTTCACTTTAAATAATATTTTATCATTTTTTTTATTTAAAATATTTTCTTTATTTTTGCCAAATATATATATATATATTTATATTCCCAAACCCAAGGGGGCACAGGGGGCACGTGACCCCCCTAGACCCTCTGTGGCTCCGCCACTGGTTTTATGCACTAATCACGAATTAAATTTTAAAATTTATAATCTACCTTTAAAACTATTCCATTCCGCTATAGTTAATACATGTATATTTTTTTAACCTTGAATGAAATATCAAAATAAAAATAAGTGTGAGGGAAATTTAAAATGTAAAATTTGTTACAAATTAGTAGTTATCTATATGAAAAATATTATGTAAAATTAGTTTGTATTATATATATAAAAAATATTATGTAAATTAGTGTTATATATTATGGAAATTGTGAGATCATGAAATATCCTCTCACATGGATGTTGTAGAGATCCAACGAAGAGAAGAGCTTCACCCCTGTAGATCTGCAAAGATGAACATAGTCGGTGCCACCCAATCGGGGTTGCCGGTCGGGGACTCTCCGATGATGAAATTAGTCCTTGAATCAAGGAAGTAAATTGTATATATATTTGAAGGGGTGTGTGTTCTGTAGAGAGAGATCAAAACATACCTTCTACTTGGGATGCCCCCTCCTTTATATAGATGGGGGGTGTGATATTTGTTTGGGTTGGACCCATTGTAGGCTTTGTTTGAGTTAGGCCCAATAAGCTAGTACCTATATTTTTCTGGCTCCCACAATTGCCCCAAAACTTTCATTGTCTACGGTAGAAGGAATGAGAGTTTTTCCTTGCCAAGTTACGTTGTTCAAATAACTGTTAGGTTTTTTGACAAAAAATACATTTGATAAATGAATAACATAAATGAATGAATGGCTGGATGAATGCATGTATGTATGAATGTATGTACAAATATATGTATATAGAGGAGAGAGGTGAGCTAAAGCCCAGTGAGTAATACTTTCTCTATAACGAAAGGCCACGGTGTTATAACCCCTTGGTAAGGGTGTAGGCCGCGGTATTATAACCCCGGGCAAGGGTGTAATATATTGTCGAGTGCAAAGATTGCTTCCAAATATGGACTTTCGTGCTGAGTATATATGTTGAGCACGGAAATGATTGCCTGAACCAAATAAGAAAGATTAAATAAGGTAGATATATCAGCCAAAAAATGGACCATGGTATTATTACCCCCTGGTGAAGGTGTAGACCTGCGGTATTATGACCCCCGAGTAAGGGTGTAGGCCGTGGTATTCTAACCTCCGGGTGTAGGTGTAGGCTGCGGTATTCTAACCTTCGGGCATAGGTATAGGCCGCAGTATTCTAACCTCCGGGCGTAGGTATAGGCCTCAGTATTCTAACCCCCGGGCATGGGTGTAGGCCTTTGCTGATGGCACTCCATGCCGAGTGCGAAGATTGCGCTGTACTCAGAGACTTTTACTGATTTTAAGTGGCGACCGAGTGCCAATATGGCAAGGACTTTGAATAATGCATCATATACCGAATAAGGTGGACATTTTAATCACCAATAATATTGCTCCGCTTATATGGAATTGCCAAGTAGATATTGGGTCAACTATTTAATTGTCGAGTTGCTCGGTTTGCGTTTGGTCCAAGGTAGACTTGCCCTATTGTTTTTGAATGACAGGTGTTAGTCGGAAGGAATGCAAATTCTCATTGCCCTATGTTGCAGGGAAGATTCAGCTTTGGTAAAATGGCGGCGCACAACAATGTGCGAACTGCTGACTGCCAAATGCGAATTGCCGACTGCCAAGTATATAATGTATTGCCCCAAAACTAGCGCTTGCTTAGAGCGACGTGAAAAGGAGCTGGAGTGTGTAACTCAAGTAAATGTTGTAATGTTTGTACCAAGTTGGCCGAGTATGCATGCATATCAAAGGTGTCGAGATGATGATCGGCTGATGTGCCCCAATTGGAAAGCGAAAAATTGACTAAGATGTCCTAGTGGGCAATTTTTTTGCCAAATAATGTTGTTAGGCAAATAAAGTTGATGCACGGCCGAATAATGATAGTGTTGAATTAATAATGGTGCCAAATAATATTGCCGAGTAAATTTGATGCACTACCAAGTAACTAGTGTCAAAACATCGGTGTCTTTCATATATAATGTGATTTTGCCGAAAAGTTGGTTAGCTACACTTGGGTCGGTGATTGTGCTGATCTTTTGGTCGGCGATTTTTCTTAGCTTTGCGGTGTGTCCACATCACTTCGGAGTTGGATTTGCTAAGAACTTGGTTGGCAATAGTTGCCAATTTATTGAAGTTGAGATTCTTGTCCAACGTATATTTGCCCTATTGCTTTTGAATAAGATTGTTTATTCGGAAGGAATAAAATTGACTCAGGCCAAAATTGCTAAGTAGGCCGATAACAATTTGAAACAGATTCCGTGTCCCTATTCGGTGTCGTGGGGAAATCAGAATGAAGTCGAGACAAAGTAGGGTGCATAGTGATATGCGAAGTGAGCCATTGCGCTCGGTTTTTTGAATAAAATCTGTAATTTTTTTTTATAGTTGAATTTGCAAATTCTGACTGTATAGATGGACCTGGAATGTGTCAGATAACTGGAAAGGACTATTGGATCGCTGTGATCAGACTCCTAATGGCGTAATTATAGCCAAAATGGATCTAACGGTTCAGATTAACAGGGTGTAATGCAACCGCGAAGCACATGATTATTTCTTCATATGTTGCTGGATCGTCTTCTCCAGCGAAAGAATTCATTTTCTAGGCAAACTTTGAGCGGCCCCGTACGGCTTCGTTTGAGCTCCGATTTTGACGCGGTTTGTTGCGTTGGACTCGTCTCAATGAGTACTTCACGTTAGTATGGGCAAAACTTGAGTTTTATAGCTTTGAAAATTTCAGTTGTCGGAAAATGTGAGCCGTATCGTAATTTTTGG